TGAGAACACTCACTCTGATTCTGTTGAGGAAGTGTTGTAATATAAGGCAGGTTTTCTAGAAAGATTGCAAAATTCTAAACATTGGGAGCACTTCACACTATTCCTTTGTTTGAAATTTTTCATCGAGTATTCTTATGTTAGAAATTCAAAGATTTATTAAATGGAGCTAAAGTTGAATTGCTTAGATTGTATATAGAAGTAGATGATATTTTGGGAAAGCTGGCTATTGGGCATCAGCGACTAGCCATGAGTGGCATCCCGACGATTCAAGCCTCTAGAATAGATAGAAGAATCTGGATTCAGATTCATGTTACACCTTTATTTTTTTCGTTATGAGAGAGAGCATGTCAGGATGCATGGCAGCACAGAATTCTTCTTTTAAATTTCTTATTGTTTAAAGGAAAAGAAGGATTCACAAGTAAAATGGATTCAAAAACCCCTGAAAAATCGGTGGTGTTCTATACAGATGTTTTCTTATATGATAATAAAAAAGCTCGTTTTAGAAAAAAGGACTGTGTGATACCCTGTATCCTGAAGTGTCCTTTCCAGGAAAAAAAACTTAAACGCTTAAAGCCGTGCAATATTCATGAGAATGCCCAAATCCACACAACCTTTGGATAAGAGTAAAAGTTTCTGTTTTATTCTGTTAATTGAATTGTACTCTTTTGACAAGTCCATGAATGTAATCACGTCTTTCTCACTGATTTTGAATTCTTCGTATCCGTCCTGACGTGACCATCGAGCCACATTCCGATGTCACGTCCTATGGTGTCCATCCATCGAATGTTAGCTCTAATCTTTTCAATTGACGAAAGAAAAGCTCGCTCGGCAATCGACAGATCGGCTGTGTTGGCCATGAATTGTTGGATAGTGTCCAATTCTTGTTGCGTATTCACATATTCAAGGACACTTTCGACAATGTTTGATAGAGTGAAACTTACACTGCCAAATTTTGCAACGAGCTCTGGCCATTGTTGGCTAATGAAACGCCAGGTGAGCTTCTGCCCACCAGGCTGTAGACGAATATTGTTGATAAATCTAGATGCATCTTGAAGGCGAATGTATTCATTGGTCAACGTAGTATTGAGCAATTGTTCGAGAAGAATGACATTCTGTGTACATGTTAGGGCATAGCCAAAACGATTCTTTTCGACTTGATCGTTGGTTCGTTTATATAGTTCTCGCATGTGTTCATAATCGTCAGTTGTTCCACTTTTGATTCCTTGACAATAGGCAATAGTTCGAGAGTCAGGAGCAATTGGGTGAGTATCTGGATTTGTACGCCATTGACGATATTGTTCAACAGCATCGTTGACACACGTATCATATCCATTGGCACACAGATCTCTGATGATGAGAGCACGGAGTTGACTCGTGAGATAGTCCAATGGTTTCGGATCCATATCTATTGACCAGCCGGATGCATCATATTTGTTTTCTTCAAGTGTTTGTATGAAATTTTGCATATTTTGATATACGGTGCTTCCCTCATCTTGACTGAACATTATCAGTGGATATTGAATATTGGTTGAAAATACGGAATAAGGCACGTAATCAGTTTCATTGACTAAATAGGTCGAAAGTTGTAATGCAACAGTGACATTCAAATCGCCAGATCGCGCTAAATTGAATGAATCGTCGATGAGCTGTGCACGTGTGACGCTTGAGAAGGAAGTGGGATCAGTTTTAAGTTTATTAGTGAGCAACTGCCAATTGAATTCATCATAATTGACACGATAGAATCCAAATTCGTCGACATTGAAGACAATCCAGTCGGCAGCTAGCGAAACATTGGAAAGAACACGAGTCTGATTTGGAGCGAGCCAATCAAATGACGAACATTTCGTCGAAGTCATATAATTAAAGGGAATGTACCATTGAAATGGAAAGGATGTGAATGGATTCACATAGGCTGATGTTTGATTCGATGCTTGAGGATCGAGTAGATACCGTTTTTGCGAGAGTGAAATAGAATTGTCGGTGTTGTTACGAGTGACAATGAGTAGAGGGTATCCTTCTTGAAGAGTCCAAGTGTCCATGATAGTTTTGATGGTGTGACCGGCGAGCACTGATGAGCTGGCAGCATCGGTTAGAAAGGCCCATAGTTGATCTTGCACAGCGTTACTATATTGAAAATGGTTCAAATAGTTGCTGATGCCGCGAAAGAAGATCGATTCATTAAGAACAGTGTAGATCATGCGAAGAACAGACGCACCTTTATCATCTGAAGAACATAGAAGACAACGCTTTCAATATAAAACAAAATATAGAGATTGGTGAGCGGGGTTTACACGAAATGGCATCGAATATTGAATTGATCTCATCTGGATGAGTGACTTCGACACTGATTGGATGACTCGAATAAAGACTATCCATGACCAGAGCTCGATGCACGACGACTAGAAGAAATAAGATAAGGGTCAATTGATATTCTTTGCTTTTAAAAGATTCATCAAATTCTTGCTCACCAGTGACAAATAGATCGAAAGAATGAAATTCAGGATTCGAATGATTAAGACCGAGTATTTCGACCCATGAAGCAAAACCTTCGTTCAGCCTTCGTGGAAATAGTCAGAGAGAAAATGCAATACTAGATGAGTAAATCTTTCATTTACCAAAGGTCATTCCACCATTGAGGAGTGACAATATCACCGAACCATTGATGAGCCAACTCGTGCGACACCACTTCGCCCACTCGTCGTTTATCGGCGAGATTACCAGTTACGTTATTGTAGAGAAGAGCAGTCTCACGATATGTGATTAAACCCCAATTTTCCATGCCACCTACACATAGAAGAAGAAATCAACAAATAGCTCGTCACATAATCGAATGCTTACCGATAGCAAAGTCGGGTAAGGCAAAGTGATCACATTTACTGAGTGGATATGAAATATTGTAGGATTGTTCGTAGTAGGGTATTACTTCTGTGCTCACTTGAAGAGCAAAATTGCCTTCTCCCTTTTGTATTGCTTCAGGTCGTCCACAGATGTTGACTTCAATATTCGTCGACGTCACATTTGAGACACATTCAAAATCAGTAACGACAAATGCAATAAGATACGTTGACATTGGCGGAGTTTGTTCGAAACGCGATAGCAGACGACCATCGGATTGTTGTATGGGTTGACCTCCGTCGAGCATGGCACCATTCGATCGAACGACAGTGAAACTGGGATCGTGACTGATCGAGATATTAAACATGGCTTTGAATGCTGGTTCATCGAAACACGGAAATACGTTCCGAGCTATTGTCGGCTAGAAAAAAATGCAATAGTGGGAATGAGAGACAGAGAGAGAGGTATTTTCGGCGCTCTCCATTACCTGCATATGAGTGGCTGCAATATTGTGCGTAATGATATCGCCCGTGCTTGTATTTGTTACATTGTATCGACTTAAATAGAATCCGGCCATGTCTCTATTCAGTTCGGCTGTGTGTTCTGATTCGAACTCATATTCTTGGTTCGTCACACATCGTTCTCGTAGTCGACAGATGAGTATCTCCGATTGTGACATCCACGTCCAATCGGTGATTAGATTTTTCGATGTATCGAGACGTCTCAATGTTATAGACGACATTTGTAGTTGTTTCATATGAATTCGAAATACATTTGTTGATCGATTACAACGAACAATAATACGAGTACGACCCATAAAAAGTGTATTTGGTTCAGCATTGTTTGGATAAGTCGCACTAAGACGTACGTCAAAATCGAGTGCATACTGAGATGGAATCCAATCAAATGGAAGACGAATTTCGACCGTTCGATTCATGAACCATTCTTCTAAATTGGGTTTTGCCTTTTCAGTCCATTGAATGTTGGCACGAATACGTTCGATTATCGCTTGAAATTCGACAGTACCCTACATAAATCGAAAATGCTTCTGAATGTAAAAAAAGAATCGTGAACTCACATTATCTATTTTCTGTTCGATGAATCGTTCAAATTCATCAAATTGTTGTTTGGTATTGAATCGCGCTGTGACATCTTTAATGAGATCAACAAAACTCATTGATTTGCCGAAGTCTTCAAACAATTGTATCCATCGAGAGCGCACGAATGTCCAACATTCAGTTTCGGCAACGAATTTTCGACAGATTGTCCGTATTCCGGAGAGAGCATCTTGCCGTCGGATAATGTTTAATTGAAGATTTACATGAATCTCTAGTAAATATCGGATCAATTCGGTATCACGTGTACATGCCAATGCCGACTGTATTCTTGCCTTTTCTTGTGGATCATTCGATGTTCGATATTGATGAAGAAGAAATTGAAATTCGGCTCGACCGCCTATACGCACATTCGTACAATAGACAACAGGGCGATCATTGGGCTCGATCGAGTTATTCGACGGATGATTGAACCATTGTTCAAAGAGAAATTGAGCACGATGCACACAATCATCTAAATTGTAGTGACACGCCGTCGATACAATCAAGTCTCGATGAAGTGCATCGAGCCATTTGTTGGTGACCATCGATGATTGTTCTTGCCAACCGAGTTGAGTGTAAATAGGAAGTATGAGATCGATTATATACGACTGAAATTGTTCGTAAAGAGTGAGATCCGAACTGCTAGATGCAATCATTTGTTCAATGTAGGAAAGACCCGCGAGAATACGTTCCCAAACGATGTAAGCACGTTCTAAACTAGCATAACTAAGTAGATCGAATACGAGTGATGTTGGTACGATATCTGACAAGACAAAAAAACAAATAATCACTGTCAATTCAATCGTGGTTTATTTAACATACTCGCTCGAGCCAAGTTGAACGCATCATCGACAAGGCCCGCCCGCTCGATAACGGTAAACTTCTCGTGATCGGCTTTCAATTGTGCAATAATCATCTTCCAATTTGGTGCATCATAATTCGTACGAAAGAATCCCAATAAATCCGGATTTGCCAAAAGCCATTCATTCGATTGCACGTTTGTACTCGTTGTCATGTTCATCTGTCGTTGATTGAACCATAGGATGCTTGTCGACAAAATTAACGATGACTTGAATTGAAGTGGAATATACCACAGATACTGGTATGGCGATTTGGGTGGTTTTGCCTCTGAATCGAACAAAAACTGGTGCTGAGTCACTGTAACACATCCAGTCATATAGTCGCGTGTGATTTGAACGTACGGATAACCCATTTGATCCGTCCACGTACTCATAATCATGCTGAGAGTTGTGTTACTCGGTAATTCTATATTATCGACGAACATCTGTTCACCCAGTGCTCGCCAGAGATCGGTTTGTTTTGCGGTCGAATATAAATGACGCTCGAGGTATGTAGTGATGCCTTTATTAAAAGTATTACTGGACATAAAATTGCACATCATTCGAAGTAACGAAGAACCTTTCGAATAAGTAATCGCATCGAAAATACTTGCTAGTTGTTCGTTGCGTGTAATTTGCATGTTAACCGGATGTGAAAGGGACACAGCATCGTCTTGCATAACGGTAAGCCAGCGTTGAGCAATGAACTGTTGATATAAATCCCATTCTGGATGAATTTTATTCGTACCGACGAATTCCATCCATTTTGCAAAGCCTTCGTTAAGCCACAGATCGTCCCACCAAGCAGGTGAAACGAGATTGCCAAACCATTGATGAGCGAGCTTGCGAAAAAGAAAGAACAATATCGTGTAGAAGAATCAGAGTTCACAAATGGACTAGTTTTGTTGAATAGATGTCACATATAAACATTATGCAGAATTTACCAAGGAGAAACAGCTGAGTTAAATTACTCAAAAGCACAGGCAAACTCACGCAAATGTACTCAAATTCACCAAAGTCAAAATTCACCATTTCCCTCTTGGAATTTATCCTTTTAAAAGATTGTGCAACGTTTTTTTATTCCCTGAGGCTTTTCTGAAATACAATAAAATATGATTAAAGCTTTTAGCGCAGTCCCTACAGGATTAAAATGCCGAACATGATCTGTGACGTTATGGAAATTTTCTTTCGACATGTCTGCCACACGTCTGTCTGGCAGGTCGAAGAGAGAGATGGTTCATTTTTCTCGCTATATAATTCAACGCTCAAGAATAATCATGTTTCACAAAATTGTAACATGAAATAGTTAATGATTAGAGTTAGTCTCTCTCAGAATAAATAATGAGGCAACGTTCAACAACAATTTTTATCAGTAGGCGATCCATAGACCACACACAAGAGTTTAGTCTGACTCACAGGCTGGCTTTACTTAGGACAGCCCAGCCCATTTAGAGCCCTCAGATGGATATCTCTGTTTTACCTCATGAACAATGACCAATGCAACGCTTTGCTTGTTGAACGACGACGATGTGCGATTGTTATAGAAAAGGCGTGTTTCACGATACATGATACACCCAAAGTTTTCCATGGCACCTGAACAAATAGAATGAAAGAATGAAGGATGAGAGATTTCTCCTAGCACTATACCGGCATCAAAATCAGGCACAGCAATGTGATCACATTTAGGTAGTGGATAGTTAACCTGGTATTGTTCTTCAAATTCACGAATATTCCGCGTTGCTACTTCAAGTGCATAGCTTAAATCGTCTTTTTTCTCTGCTTGAGCACATACACTCGTCGTAATATTTCCGAAACGGCCCGTATCATTCCGCGTCAAACATTCAAAATCAGCGATGACTAGTGCCAGTAAATAAGAGCTCATCGGCACGGAGTTTTGAAATTGCGTCAATACCCAACCACTGGATTGATTCGTACGATTCTGAACAGGCATATTACTCCATACTCGATACTGCTGTTCATGCTCTACTGTCACTGCGAAGGTTGCTTTGAGAGCGGGCTCATCAAAACATGGCAAAGCTCGTCGTGCTGAAATCGGTGCCATTTGTGAAGCAACCAAATATCGTCGTACTTTATCCGATGATCTCACATAGGAACTGAGATAAAAACCGTCCGTATCGTTTTTCAGTTCGCCCACATAGTTCAGTGTTAGTATTGGTTGTTCGTTCACTTGGAGTGATTGATTGAGTATTATGGTGAAAAAGTCCTGATCTTGATTGAATGTTGTTTTTATCACTGACGCACCACCGATAATCTCGATTGGATCTCGTATGGTAATGAAGCGTTTATGTAGAACGATGCGATCAGTAGTGCGAGTCACATTGAGATGAATACGGACTCGTCCGTCAAACACGGAAAAGCGAAGATTTTCATTTGTGATATTCAAATACGGTTTGACATAGAGATCGTAGTGGATTGGAACGACATCAGAAGGTAAACGGTGACTAGCAATGGATGATTCATTGTTTGAGCGAAATAATGCGATGATTGAAGCGAGATTCGCTGTGTTCCATTCTATGCCTGCGTTAATCCTGTCAATGGACAATTGAAATTGACGGTACGCATTACCTGAATGTTGTAAAGCGCATGCTAGAGATAGATGAGGGAGAAAAAAACGAATTGTTTACCTTTATCAATAATCGAATCTGCAAACGTTTTGAATTCATCGCGCTGTCGAATGGTGACAAATCGACTTGACACTGCTTCGATGATGTCACCTAAATTGGTATCTGATTTTCCCCATCTGTCAAAAAGTTGTGACCAATTGTCGCGAATCCAATTCCAGGCAATTTGATTAGCTCGCGGTGAGCGAGCGATATTTTCAATGGACGACGATGAATCTTGATCACGAATAACTGATCCATTCTTCAGATGTTGATCGAGAAACCAGAGAATCAACGATGGATCTTGTGTGCAGGAGAGACCTTTAAGCAGATTGAATATTTCACTGGCGACTGATTCTACCTGAAGACGAGCCCATAAAAAGTTAAACTCCGTTTGTGAACCTTCGTGAACAACTGTACAATAGACGGTCGAACGGAGATTAGCCGGAATTTGATTCAGAGTAGGATTTAAATTCCAACGACGGTAGGCACTGCGTGCTGCTTCAATGCATCCTTGATGACCGTAACGACAGGCAGCCGACACAATTTTTGGTTGCAGTAGAGTTCGAAGCCATTCAGTCGATTGATCAATATGAACCCATCCGATCGTGTTGTAGATCGGAAGAACAAGTTCGAGAAAGTAGCGTTCGACATTAAGAAGAATATCATGATTGGCAAGTAAATCTGTTTGTTGACTCATCGCTGAAAGCGCCGCTGTCCACGGGACCAATTCGGTTTCGCTCTTCAAATATTGAATTAGTTTGTATGCATCAATTGCATTGATAAGGCCTGTGCGAGACAGAGCAAAGGTATCATCGATCAGAGCTCCTCGAGTAATGGTCGGGATGCGTGTATGATCTGTTTCAAGCTGAGCAACAATTAGACGGAAATTTTGCGGATCATATTTCGTGCGATAGATGCCAAGATAGCCAGGATTGGTCAAGATCCAGTCTGAGTCTGATGTAGCAATTACTACCGTTGCTGATGTATCATTGAGCCATACAATTTCGCTTCCCATCGATGGCTGTGAATAGAAGACAGTAAAGATTGGCACATTGCCGCTCAAGACATTCGAGCATCAACTACTTTTGCTTCTAAAAATGAACTGAAGTGTGACTATGCCGAACACACAGGCTCAACTTAGCGATCGTCGTTATCCTCTAACAGCTTCCATGTCGTAACTGATAGAAACAGATTCGCTCGATTCTCTTCAGTCTAGTATGATGTGACGAGAACTATCTATCACGGATCGAAATATGACTTTCGAGCTGAGAAATATCTCTAAACTCCACCAACAGTCTTCATTTACCTGAGTTGAGGTTCGATCAAAGTATTTGAATGGAATCCACCATTTGTCCTGTTTCGTCGTCGTTGAAAAAAGGCTGAAGGGCCGTTGACTAATTACCATACGACCCCCGACGCGCTCTCTATCAACTGTATTGTAATCTCGATTGACTTCAACAATCGGATAGCCTGCTTGTCGTGTCCACCCTTTCATGATCATTTCAACGTCAATCGTATTGTTTGCAGCATCACTTAAGTATGCCCATAAATCCTGCTGCGTTGCTGAACTAAAACTCAGTGCTTTCAAATATGTTCGAACACCATGTTGGAACGTTTCAGCACCCAAAAACATGGACATCATACGAATGAGCGTTGCTCCCTTATCATAGGTGATCAAATCGAACAATTGAAAAATGTCTGCCGGATTGGTTGATTCAATACTGATTGGTCGCGATGTTGGCAACGAATCGGCCTCCATGAAGCCAAAGATCTTTTCAACAACAAATTGTTCCTCTTGCATCCACAAAGGTTCGACAAAGTCGGATGCCAGTGTTTCCATGTAATTGGCGAAGCCTTCTTTCAACCATCTATATATCGAGAACTAGATGAAAAATAAAAACAGTGAGACTTACAATTCACCCCACCAAGCAGGTGAGACCAAATTGCCAAACCATTGATGAGATATTTCATGGGATATCACCGTTGTGATATATTGTTTTCTTGAGGCTGATACTGTTTTCTCATCGAAAAACAAGCCTACTTCACGGTAGATCAACAAGCCTAGAAAGAGAAAAACTCGGTTATTGATTCGGCTTCGTATCATTGTTTGCTTCGATCGAATAAAAACTCTGTTTACCGTAGTTTTCCATCGCACCAGCGCCAAAATCGGGAACAGCAAAATGTTCAATTTTTGGCAATGGATAATCAATGTCGAAGTATGTATTAAAAAATTCCAAAGCTTTGTAAGCTATTTCATCAGCATAGGTCAATTGTGGAAGAATATCGACACGTCCACATACTCTCGATTTGATGTTTTCTGAACCGACAAGGTGATCTGGTCGGCAGGCAAAATCGGACATTGGTGCCACAATAAGTGCCAGAAGAAATGTGGACATTTTCAGTGTCGGAGTAAAATGCGAAAGTGTTCGTCCATCACCGAATGTTTCGATTCGTTCAATTTCCCCATTGGACCATACGGCATACGAAGAATCGTGTAGGACACTAATTTTAAAAATGGCCTTACGAGCAGGTTCATCAATGCATGGAAGAACACTTCGCGCATGGATTGGCTCCATTTGAGAGGTCATCAAGATGCGATTCTTCCCGTTGACATCGACATAGTTGCTTATGTAGAGGCCGTGCAAATCATGAGTAATAACACCCTCATAGACAATGTGAATTGTATAAGTGCTTTTCGGTATAAAGGTGGATGAAAAGTTGAGTATCATGAACTCGTTATAATCATCATAGGACCACGAAAGAAACATTGGCATCGAGTCGGATGATGAGTTGACAATGCGTACAGTTGAATTTTCAATATACAAGTCTGTCATGTGAAGAATCATTTGATTGGTGGCTTCGACGCAGATGAAGGTATAGAGAAGATCACCTGTGTTGAGAAGGAAAAGAATCAATAATGATTGTTCCTATTACAGCTAAAACCGTTAAGAAGATTTCATATTGAACCGGATTAGGAACGTGGCATCTTAAAACATTCGTAATGAATTCCAAATCTGTCTTTATAGAGAAAAATTTGAAAAAACATTGTAGAGTCAAAAGATGAATGGTAAACTGTCAGGAATATACGCTTGAATTAAAAGTCCCTTTCGTCGTCTGCGCTTTTCAAATTATATCTTACCTACATTTCTAAGACTGAAACGAGCAAATTTCGAAATCTATGTCGGCCAAATGAAATATTTGTCTATGCTGCCGCTGCAGTTTCAACTCGAGCACAAATGGTCTTTACTTTCTGGTTGTTCGTGAAAGTGAGCATAGACTTATAATCGAGTCATTTTCGACATAGTTTGCATTGAAAAATATCACTTTTAGCGTAAGATTACCAAAAAATTATCATCATCATCTCCTTGAAAAACATTCCATGCACTCTTTTGCAATGAACTTTTTATAATAGACGTTATTCCCTTTGAAAGTGTCTATTTCCTAAAAATCTTGCACTTTTCAACTACATCCTATAAGAAATTGATGTTACCGCATTTTAGAATGCAAAGGCTTTCCAGTTCCTACTCCATCTTAAAATCACGTGTAAAATTCGCTTCACCTGTGAATCTTTCATTGATAAGATCGGGAGTAATTGTCAGTTGATAGAATAGTTGTTGCAAATTGTCCGGTATGCGTTCAACAGACGGCAGAGGAGTAACGGTGGTTGTCATTTCATTTGATATTGTTGTTTGAAGCTGACTAGCAGTAGTGGTTAATGGTGTAGATGCTTCAGTATTGACACCATTCCGACTCTTTTGATTCACACCAAAATAGATGGTTAATACTAGCAGAACAATGATAACAGCAGGAAGAACGAGCACCACAGGCCAAAAGAGTTTCTTGGCCACGTGATAGGTATTTGTTCGAGCAGTTTTTGTATTTGGATCGTCGATATCGAAAGTTTTCATCTATATTTTGATAGGTATATTTACTATAAGACTAATCTACTTGATGATTTTTTTTTGTTACTATGAAATTAATTTTAAAAAATCACTATAAAATGGGAACCAGAGGTCTTGGAGATCGCATGATGGAACAGAGGCCTATTCTCATAGCAATGCCACTATTTTGTTTATGTACACTGGATCAACTCATGGTCATCTTTGTTGTTTTCTTCTTGAGATACTATGAACGTCGCTAACGAATGTCGTCCAAGAGTTTAGTATCTGTCTGACAGAAAGCACGACTCTTTCTTTAAAGTAAAGGGGTTTATTTTTCCATCGGTACTGGGAACGTTGGACACTGAGCAGGATAGAAGTTCTACGAAAATTCTACATGTAGCATGTTTGTTCTTCTAATTTAAGTTGAGTAGTTAAGTAACGTGAGGAAGATAAAAGAAGAAAATTGAATGACCAAAAAGGTGAGTTACGCATAGCTACTGACCCAAAATAGTGTTAATCAGGAGATGTTATAGCTCCTATTGGAATAAAGTATTGTCAGGCTATTATTCAAATGTCTACCAGTCGAGTGTTTAGTGCAGCTGGCTGTTTGAGATACAGACCAAGGAAAACTAAGAAAAATGAGAATATCGTAATGTGTAATCATCTTGATTTATTCCAATTATGCCTATCATAGTAGCTTTAAGAATAACACTGAAAGAAACAGGTACCATACCGAACCATTTTATTGTAAAAATCGAAACCCTTTTAGATTTCGTACCATTTTCAAGAATATTTTTGGGTTTTTAGGAAACACGGAACCTCTCGGTGGTTCGGCATGGTATCTTTTTTTTCAGTGAAGAAAGATCGGTGAAACAAACCTATGCTGCTCAAGATGCACATAATCACAGCGAGATTGTGTTAGTCTATCACTTTAACTACAGCTAATTTGTGTGAGTGTGTGCTAAGCACACGTTATCATCACTCTCAAATGCCTGTTCTTTGTCTCTCTGTCTCTCTTTCTCTCGTCCTGTGTGCTTTTGAAATAACGTAAGACGTAATATATCCGTCCGAATCTGTCGTAAAAAATATACAACAAAACAAGATTTAGTGCAGTTGCTTGCCCTTCGACAGATTTTCTATATATGCCTCATCATTAAAATGACAAATACACCGATTCAATATTCAGGTGAGATTAGATATAAGAGTGGCATGGCATTTACGAGCCAACCATACTTGATACACTCATTTATGATGTTTTATTTAATAGCTTGTTTCAAACTATTTGAGATATCAAGGGATTGATGTGATGCAGATTCGTCAAACAAGAGGCCATCAACAGACCTTGCACAATTTTGTTTTACTATTCACACCATGCATTTATTCCACCAATCGTTGATTGCCGTCAATTTTTCCAACAGAGACAGCTCACAGGGTATCATGAAAAAATACATGTCTTGAAACAGTAGAACCTATGATACTCAATGTTGCAATCTTTATACACATAGAGCAGATTCGGAAGACATATGTATAGGCGTTGATCAGTGTAATCCTATTTCGATGGAGAAAAATGAGATTTACTAAAGGCGTGTATCCACACATGTACTACTGTTTGAAAAAGTCCACTTTTCTAGACTATTTCAAGCCCTCCTTTGGATAAAAAATATCCCATCGTGTAGAATATTCTCTCCAGTTTCGAAAGGCATGTGTCGTAAAATAATTCAGGTAATAATAGAAATGATGTATGAAAAGAAAGAGGCATAAGTGAGCATTTTACCATTATCTTATCGACCCTTGAAAAAGTGATTTCACAAGGAAATTTACCAGAATTCGAGATAATGGTCTGAGAAGCTAATTTTTACAGAAAATAGATAGTAGACTGATGGCTATCTACTGGTGAGACAAGAATGTTTTTTACTGTTCTTATTGGTGCACACTAAGACTAATATAAAACTTTTGCAAGCTGGTTCATCAATTTTTGACTGACTGTTCCCTAGACTGAAAGGATAGGGTCTAGAAACGGGAATTCATCTGTGTTCATGTCTCCTTTTTGTCGGTAACATCGCACAAATCACCATTTTCTTGGCACAAGTGATCACGTAACTATGACACAAATGAGCATATTCCCTAGCCCATGTCCTTTGAATCGGCTAAAAATTGCCGATTAATCCCGATTCATCGAAACGGTAATCGTGAGCTGAATCGCGATAGAATCGCCGATTATTCCCGATTATTTCAGCGATTTTTACGATAAATCGTGATTTTATGCAAGATTTAACCGTCTGTTTACTGATATTTTCTACTATTTCATTGGTTCTTTTGGAGACACATATTTGGATTTTTTCTTGAATTTAATTCAATTTTTTTTGTTCCCAAGATCCAAGCCGACCAGATCGTGCGATCTGTCCGATCTCGAGCTGGTCCGATTCTTATCAGACCGCTTCAGTGTAGTCCTTTCCAGATCATGGATCGGGATTGGCATTTCCTTCATTAAAAATAACCAAGAAACAATTTATCAGAAAAGTGTATTTCGAAAACTTATTTGTTATGCATTGAACGGCGTTGTTTATATATCCGTTTGTGTTCATAAGAAAACGGTGAATGAATAATTGTCATCATTTATCAATGATTTTTGAAAATCAGCTCTTCTCCCATAATCGCGATAAAATCTGATATAATCGTCGATCTTTTAAAGAAATAGGATAAATCACGATTTTACGCCAATTTTTTAGAAAATCGCGAAAATCGCTGTGATTCTCACGACATGGGAGACTGAAATGATGGGGTCTAGAAACCTAAATTCACCTGTGTCCGTCTGTCTGTTTGTCTGTAACATGGTACAAATGACCATGTAGTAACAATGATCTGAATGACCATCTAATGACTATGGTTCAAATGAACATGTAATAAGCATGATTAAAACAACCATGCCATAACTATTATTCAGATAAACGTGTAGAATGGTTAAAAACAGCATTTAGTTAGTAGAATTCAAACCAACCGAGCAGTATGACTTTTAAAAAAATTGTTAAATTATTCAATATTATTGGATTGATTGTACAATGTTGTATAAATGAGTATGTGATTTATTATGTTTAGAATTGATGAGTCAATTTGAACATATAATTATGATTAATAAAACTTAAATTTGGTGAATAATGTGATATTTGTGTTTGTAATTACAAATAGCGCAAATATAATTATTAAAATTTCGTATTGTTGTTTAATTATATTAGCGCTATTTGTAATTATAAAACAAAAAATGAAATGTTTACGATAAAAAAATTGAATCCATATATGCATCATCTTTATATATAAGATGCATTGTCGAAATTAATTTTTATGATCATCTATGATATACTTATCATATTATCAATTTCGTCTATTACTTTATTTAATGCACCTTTATATCTATATGTGACTATATCCCTTTGTTTATTCCGTCAGTCTAGCGCTAAGTGAATCGCTACGCGATGAACGTTACTTGTAGCTAATTGTTTGACTCAAATAACTCAATCCTAACGTAATTTGACTAATATTCTGACTAAATCACCATGTATCAAAGTAAACATTTGTTTTACTATGAGTGACAGAAGCCTGCATAAGCTGGTCGCTCTTTTGGCCAACTTGGTCAGAAAACTAGCTTAGACATATCTCAATAACTGAAAGTCGTCAAAGCGGAGATTATTGCAAGTAGGGAACCGAAAACTTGCTCATGTGACTGAAATTTCAATATGGTTCAAAGACTTCAAAACGATCAAAATAAGAATTCTTCCTTATGCTTTATCATAGTTAGTATGAGTCAAATGCTTGTATTTATCTTCGATTTTTATAGTGGAAAAACCATGTCTTATCGATATTTCTTCGGTTTCATTTTAGTTTTGACGAAGCAGAAAAAATAAGATATATTAAGTAAAAAACAGCGAAACTTATTTACGAAAAAAAGTTTTTTCTTTTAAAATCCGAATGTCTCTTCCTACCAATAATTGGTTGATCATTATTATCATTCGATGATGAATCAATTTGATCTAATTCATTTATTGTTACATTTCCATATTCTCGAATTATTTTACCACCTCGTTTTACTGTTGTATGATGTTTATCTCCACATATTTTACTCATTGTTTCAGTTTTGTATATTTTCATTTTGATTTGATGATTATTGAATTTGTTTTTCAATAACACATCTTCCCAATTATGTTGTTTTTCGTTTCATTGCTGTTATTTTTGATGAACTTGAAAAAGTTCTTGAAAATGCTCCATTAAGATCATGTTTTTCTATAGTAGAATCAAGAATTTCATCACCATGATGACTATCTACAAAAGATATTAATTTAAGAAAATTCGCTTTTTAGCATACGTTTTTGTTTTGTTTTTACATTGAAACTCTGTAGTTGAGAAACAGGAGAAAAGCCAATCGAAATTAACGAAGATTTTTTCAATTGGGGAAAATAAACCATTGAATAGAAAATCATCATCATCATTATCATCTTCCATTTTTGTTTTTAGAATGAAAATTTATTTCTCATTGTTCATTTTTATTTTTATTTAAATATGAAGAAATGTATAAAAAAAAAGTATAGTTTTAGACATTTAATTATCTCTTAGTCTTATTAATGACTTCATTATATAGTGTAATGTTGGCATAGCTAGATCATTATATTATTAGTGAATATAATATATATCAATGTTGTTTACAACATTTTCAACAGTTTGATAATGAATCAAAATTCTTTTTTTCTTGATATGAATAATCATTTATTGTAAATTGAATCAATTGTTTGGAATTTCAATATGTTTAGTAAAGTTGATCAAGAAAAAGCTGTCGGTATGAATATTGAATAGATGCGTGTAGGGTACCAATTGAGTGAGTCAATCAAGATATTACAAAGGTCGAATATCAAATGAAATCATGTCGATAAAATTTCTTAAACAATTATAAAGTACTCAGTTGCATTGATGTCGTTTTATTAGCCGAGATTCTTTATTTTTGTATATTATCATAGAATTTCAATGTCTACTGAAGTGAACTGGGTGTGGGTGTGGGTGTGGGTGTCGATGTGGGTGTGGGTGTGGGTGTGGGTGGGATGTGGGCGTTGGTAATGAAAAGAAGAACAACCACCCACACCCACACCCCACAGTGGGCAACTTTCATGAAGCAGGCGGACATGTAACTATTGTGCTCTGAAACGGGTTGCCTTTACTCAGAAATGTTTGTATATTACTTAGAAAATCGAATTTACGAAAACAAAGCATTTTTTGAAAAAAAAATTTTCGGGGTGAAACACCTGAGGGGAATCCTTGCCCAGATTTCCGAAAACATTTTTTTGGTAGAAAATGTCTTGTGTCATACATCATCCGATGCAGTTTTGCTCGCTGATTCCGCATATCATATTCATTTTGCGGTACAATGCTATTGGAATCGAGAAAATAGGAATTCAGGGGCAGAAGCCTGGATTTCTGGAAAACATCTAGCACAGCCTTGGTTCATTGGCGCGAGGTAGTGCTAAGCCCAACAATATATCACATATAGAAAAATAATCGGTAAAAATTTCAGATCAATTGGACTTAATCTGTTTGTAGGATTAACAAAATACGTGATGACCAATTTTCGGAGTGATATCCAGCAAAAGACCCAAATTTTTTTTTTTCGAAAAATACTTATTGTTATATATGGTTCGATGCAATTCGACAAGCTGATTCCGAATATCACTTTGGTTTTGTATCACAACTCTGCTATAATTGGAAAAAGAGAGATTTAGTGGCAAAAACCTGGATTTTTGGAAGACCTCTAGCACAGCTCGTATTCGTTGGCACGAGGTTGCGCTAAGCCCAACGATAGATCACATGTAGAAGAATAATTGGTAAAAGTTTGAGGTCAATCGGACTTAAACTCTTTGTAGGGTTTGAAAAATACGAAATGACCAATTTTCGGAACCCTAATTGGCGCGGAAACCGAGATTTTTTTCTCGAAAAACGCTTACTCTTATATATGATTCGGTGCAACTCGACAAGCTGATTCCGAATATCACGTTAGTTTTGCGCCACAATGCTATGATAATCGTGAAAATAGGGATGCTGGGGAAGAAGCCTGGATTTTTGGAAAACCTCTAGCACAGCCCGTATTCGTTGGCACGAGGTTGCGTTAAGCCCAACGATAGGTCACATGTAGAAGAATAATTGGTAAAATTTCGAGGTCAATCAGACTTAAACTCTTTGTAGGGTTTGTAAAATACGGAGTGACCAATTTTCGGACCTACTTTTAGCCCGATAATCCAGTTTATTCTTTTTCAATTTGAGTCCAATCAAAATCATTTTTTTATCACAATGAACTCAATAGAGCAATTATTCGTTTTGGATAGTTTTTCTTTTTAAATATTTCCGCTAAGCTGGTCGAAGAATTAACTTTGTGTAGAGATAGCGATTTGTAAGCAATTTTATAAAAATGAAGTTTTCCAGAGTTCTCCTTAATTTCTGGAAGTTTTATTTCAAGGCAAGATAGACTAATCTTAGATGTATTTATTCTAATATTTAAACTTTGGAAAAGAATACTTCCGTTCATGTCCGCCTGGTTGCCCACTGTGCACCCACACCCACACCCACACCCACACCCACACCCACACCCACACCCACACGCACACCCACACGCACACGCACACGCACACGCACACGCACACGCACACGCACACCCAGACGCACACCCACACCCCACACCCACACTCACACTCACACCCACACCCACACACACCCTTTCTCCCAATGTCATCCATATAGTATCATTCAGCAGATTTACTTGAATTGCTTCAAGTCATTCTGTCAAATGACAACTAAAGTCATCTACACAATTCTTGACATGTATTTTTTACTTGACAACTAGTAAAGTTGCTTTGTTGACGTCAATTAAAACACTTAACAATTTTATCTTCTTACATTATCGGAATGAAAAAAATTGAGTCGAGTTCTACTATCAACCAAAAAATGAGTCCTTTTGAATTACCAGAAGTAGAAATATTTAACTTTATTGTCCTTATGTTATTATTTATAGGCCACCCTGTATATAAAGATAAAATTTCGAAATAGAAAGAAAAATAAACATTTAAGAAAAATGTTTAAAAGAACTCAATATTGTCAAGGGGCGAAGAAATCGCATGATCTTGCAATGCACCATCATCGCCCTATCGGCGGGGCGGGGCAGTGTGAAACCGTGACTCGTCCATTTCTACTCTCTAGTATCACATTGAATTCTCTTGAAAATTTTGTTTAAACCTGTCATTCATGACGTGTCTTTGGTACAAGGATCATTGGAATAGATATTCAATCAAAAGTCACCAGATAGAGCTGTCAAACAAATCAATATGAATCATTGTTCCTCGACGCACTCACACCTGCATTCAACACTACCTGACTCGAGTTTGAGTCAAGACTCATTAGTTCTTTTTTCTTTTCATTTCAATCTATTCCAGTGAAAAATAGAGAATTGGCTATATTATCATCTGTATTTTAATTGAGCAGAAACTTCTTTATTACTAGAATCAATATCACTGCAAGAAAAGCATATACTTCAGGTTTACGACAATTTATCAATATGTATTTAAAATAATAAAAAGCACAAAGAAAAAGAATATGAGCCTTTTGGTTTTCTGACCTTGTGGACGATAACACAATGATCAATTTTAATGAAGAACCGTCTTATTCGTTCCCATAATCTACAGCGTCATCTTGTTCTGCATTATCTACCTCTCCATCACTTACGTTGTGATAGTTGTAATTATTCTCATCATCCGCATTGCTGCCTTCGCCTTCACTGTGAGTACCACCATTGTCATAGTCATCTTCATCATTCCCTACAAATATGTTTGACAAACAGACATTTAAGTTTCGCTTCGCTTTCTAGTAAAAATGTTTCAAAATTCACAAAAAAATTTTATGTTATTTTAGTTCGACAAGCAATTCCATTTTAAAATGACTAATATATCATTATCTTACCTTCTAGATCCATAGCAGCTTCTAAATCATTTTGAGGCACCACTGATTCAATCTTTTTGAGTAACTCCTCGAACTTTTCCGATATATTTGTTTTATTAGCATCACGAAAATTTACACGAGGTAAATCATGAACTATGATGCCAAGCCAACTAGTCGGCTTCCATTCTTTTTCTGCCATATAACATGGTATAATTGGTACTTTACAACTGTCAGCGTAGGATAATTCTTTTTCACAATACTGTGACTGTTGATATTTTGGTGTAACAAAGCAACAGATACAGATTGCATTATCCACACCATATGCCATGTCTTTCTAAACAGATCTTGTTATACCACCTTCCATATCCATCCAAACACGAAAACGTTCTCCTTTCAGTAAACGATAGATCTTAGTAACAATTTCTCGCGTCTCATTTTGATATGATAACATAATGTGTTTTTTTACTTCTGAAGCAGCCGCCATTTTGCATTTACCGTACTCTAATAGAAATGAAAATAAAATAGTAGTCTTGAATTTTCTCTTTATTTTATATCGGAGAAGAGTGATATTTATTTTGTAAGAAAAATAGTTTCGCTACGCTTGCTCACTTGTTTTTACTGTTGTGAATGTTGGGGTGTCCATGGGTGTGAATGTGCGTCTGTTAAAGATTGTTATGTGTGGTGTCAGTGCAAAGACTGTGAATGCCGACACGGATGACACTGAAGAACGGTACACTAAGCACTGGACTACACTAACACACAGTTATATTGCTTTTTGATGACTTTTATTTCTGTGCTTAATATTGTGACTTCCTCCGTTATTCAGAGATAAGCACACTAAAATCTTTCTGTTGGATATCCATGTATTTATTTAGTGCCTTTTCGTTTTTTTTATCTAATATCTAGTTTTTATTTAAAATTATATTCTGTTAACAAATGAAGGAACTATCCTTGAACTATCTTCCTTATACATAACTAGGGGCCTGCAGAATACGAGTTTTTCACGACCTATAACCTGCTCTGTTAAATTTTCCTAACCTGACCCTATTCTATTACTTTTCGTCATAACCTGTAATCTGTTCTGTCCTTCTCTGCTGAAAATTTATTCAATACTTAACTGAAAGATTCTTTTCAAACAAGCTCAGTGGTCCTGTAATTAGTATCAACAGAGATTAACTATGTAAAAGAAAAGAAAATACTATTACATTTTAGAATCAAGATTTTATTAAAAGTGAATAGATGTTTATTGAGGGTGCAAATCTCTGACAAAAGAAGGATATTCTCTCCAGCAAAACTTGTGAGAATTGCCAATTTTCTGTCGCCAACGGAAGATATTTTGGTAGAGCTCCTGTTATACAGAAAGTCGTATCATTCTGATTGTATGCTTATAACCGACGGAAATGTAAATAAGAGTGATAGATAGAGCTTTGATAATATAGAGTTGTTAACCCCTTAGCTACCATATGAAGAATAGAAAGAAATCGTTTTCAAAGAAATTTGCCAATTGGCTCATGAAGAAATTCGATGGCGTGCCTAGCAGCATAACAATTTCCAAAGTGCATAATGCCCAATGTTTAATTTTATATAAATGTTACTAAAAAGCATATATTATGACGATCACTTGACAAAAAGACGAGACTCTCAACACTTACCAACCACGATGGTAGCCAAAGTGCCAAAACTGAAGGCATCTAACCACGGTCTACGAAACACTCATTTTGAGAAAAAATGTCATTTTTGAATGGAAAAGAGAAAATAAATTTGGAATAGATATTAATAATGAGTGTTGAAAAAAACATTTGACAAAGAAATACAACTTCTTTATTGTTGGTACTGCAAAAAAAAATCAGTCACCTACATAATCCATCTCCAAATCTTTGCTATAATTCACCAGAATATCTAGAGGGTTGTGATAATTGCATTTCTATCACAGATTGACTGGCTATGACTCCAATACCCTGCAACCTGCCCTGTGAACATTTTGTACCTTTACTCTGCCCTGACATGGCAGGTTACACACATCCTATAGAGTTCTATACATAACCTTTTACTATTTTAAGTATCTTATATACACACTGCAAAAAATAGCCATAGACTAAAGAACCCTTTAAAAACTTTCACTAACGTCATTAGCTCTTTCGTAAATCCTTTCGCGGATTTATTATTAGCATTAACATTCCTCGAATGCACCCTTTTAGCTCCTAAACTCCAGAAAAGGTAATTTCTATGTTTCAATTTTTATAAACCTTTCCAAAAAAAAACGCACTTTATTCTCTGATTTCTTCTGAAAGGTACACTCCCAGGTCGATCGTTACGATCTCCGTATACGGTCGTTTACTATCGTATACGACGCCGTATACGACCGTATACATATTATATACGCTCCGTATACGACCGTATTTCTTCGTAATACATGAGGCCGTATTACGATCGTATATTACCGTGGACCGTGTACGGCGAGATACGGAGACCGTATACGGAACGTTTAGGCTCGCAAACGACCGTATTTTCACCGTATACGGTCGTAAACGATCTTGTTTTGCCATGTGTTTAGTAAAGATTTTGACATTTTTTACCTTTAATTACATGTACATCAGTGATATTATCACTAAGACATATACCTACCTACCTATCTATCTGTCTATCTATCTACCTACCCACCTACCTATGTATCTATCTATCTACCTATCCATCTATCTATCTACCTACCTACCCATCTATGTATCTATCTATCTACCTACCTATCCATCTATCTATCTATCTATCTATCTATCTATCTATCTATCTATCTATCTATCTATCTATCTATCTATCTATCTATCTATCTATCTATCTACCTATCTATCTATCTATCTATCTACCTAACTACCTAACTACCTATCTCCCTATCTATTTAACTATCTACTTAACTCTTTGCCTAAGTATATATCTAACTATCTATGTATTTCTCTATCTATCTACCTAAAGGGTGATCCAAAAGTTTTGGTACATCACAGAAAAATTCCATTCTCTCTCTTATAAAAAATCAAAAAAAATCTTAAAAGTGGACTAGTAGTCGAGCAATACCAGACGACTATCACTCTAAATGTTCGCAACTAAAGCTCAAGTATAATCGTGAAGACATAACTTCAAACTACAAGATTTTTTTCGTACAATCTAATCAAGTAACCGATGTCCATGATAAACGGTTGCATTTTCTATCTTATGTTTCTCAATTTCTAATACGTTTCTTGACAAAAAAATATATCAGACGATGGAGTGTCAAAAGATCTACAATCCACGATAGAAAGCGTATGTTATATATGATCTTTTAGTGTTCAAAATGGATGAAAATGATGAAAAGAGAAAATAAAGAAAAAATGAATTCATCATGGAAAAAAATAACTTTTTCGCAACATCAGAATTCACTCACTTCGAAATCTGCTGATTTTGAATACTAAAAGACCATTTATAAAATAAGCTTTCTACTGTAGATTGTAGATCTTTTGACGCTCCATCTTCTGATATATATTTTTTTCAACAAAAATATTAGAAACTGAGAAAAAAGATACAAAATACGACCGTTTATCATGGGCACCCGATTACTTAATTAGATGATGCAAAAAAATTCTTTTAGTTTGAAGTTATATATCTTCACTATAACTTAAGCTATAGTTGTGAACATTTAGACTGATACTCATTTGGTACTGCTTGACTATCAGTCCAATTTTGAGCCTTTATTATTTGTTATAAGAGAGAAAAAAAGTTTTTCTATGAGATACCAAATCTTTTAGACAAACCTTTATCTATCTATTTATATATTTTTGGGAGCAGAACTCTAGTGGTGATTGTACTGAGATTTGTCATGGACTTCATATCTTCTTTAGCTTCATCATAACAATACAAGATACACAAAGTGAATAATATCTAACAGATAATAGCTGCTTTTCAAGAATAATCGATCCTTAGAGAATCGATCTGTCTTATTTACTTCTGCGTTTCTAACAGGGTTTTTTTTTTTTTATTTTTTTTTACTGGCGCTTCATGATTTATTTGTGTCGTTGTCATTCGCTTGTGATTTATTTTTTTCTTATTTCGTTTTTCTTAATTTACTATTATTATTACTGTTATTTTTACTCTTGTTCTACCCAATGATTTACTTATGCCCCCCTCCCCCTCAAAAATCGATCTCAGCTTCGGAACATCGAGATAGCATGAAACTTTGGGGATATGTTGGAGGTGTAAAAGTACGTCTGTGGTAAAATTTTCAGCCTCCTATCCTGATGTATAAAGTAGATACGAACCAAACAAGGGTCGAAAAATAGCTTATCGCATCACCAAAAATTCTCTATGGGTGTTCATTCAATTTGGTTTATTGTTTTTTCTTATGAAAGAACATGTCAGGATGCAGTGCCCATGAAGGCCCTTTTTTTAAAATTCTTATCTTTAATAAGAAAAAAAGGGTTCACAAATTCAATCATTGAAAAAAAATCCCTCAAAAAAATGATGCTTATATTATAAAGTCGCTTTTCAATATAATAATAAAAAAGCTTTATCAAAAAAAGGGCCCTCATAGGCATGCATCCTGACATGCTCCTTCAAACAAAAAAAATTATTTGACTTCATATCGGATTATAATTGACTTTTGGTGGTGATGCGTCATTTGACCACCATTTTGAGAAAAACGCTAAAGAAGTTTTAGAAATGGAGTTTTTCATTCAAATGCAGGAAATAATGGTATATTGATAATATTTATGTGGAATTTTTGAAAGCACGCAATAGGTGGCGTAAGCTAGCACTACAGGTCGTACTGTATGATATAAGAATGTTTGTTCCATGCTGATAGAAGTAAAAAGTAGTCTTCCCAAAAATAACAAAACCGCAAAAATCTCTCCGAAAACCGGGCAGAGAGGTGGAAATCTCTTACGAAAGTCTAAAAATTTGACCTTTTTTTTTAAATTTATATATATTCTGAAAGAGGAAACTTCGCTGCATCTTCCTATGATAAAAACTCGACTTCGATTACTTTACCAAAAAATGGATTTTTTTGAGGGGGAGGGCTTAAGAAATTAGCCTGTTTTACATCTTCATTGTATCTGCAACAGGTCTCAACGCACTACTATGGACCTTGATAAACTTATCAAATACTGGTTTTGATGATTCGCTCAAGTGAGAATTTGATCAATTAATACTTTTTATGTTTTGCTCATATAACGATCGTAATAAATCAATACATCACCAGTTATCATCCATCTTTGATATGTATCATATACTGGTTAATTTGAGCAAAAATCAAAAAACCGTACTGTAGATAACATTTAAAAACATAGTCCAGCCATATAAATTTCA